ATACGTCTTGACATTGTACAGAGTTTTCATCTATTCGGATAATGGTCTGCACACATTAATTTGGGTAAACTAGGTTGCACTGTGTAATAGTGACTCTCTCCAAACCCAAGTGACAATGATGAAGGTTGTCTGCTGGAGGAACGACCCAAGTTGGCTTTCACGCATAAATAAGTCTGCCTATATACTGCAAGGGGGAGCTCCCAGCCTCCCTCTCCAATGTTTCAAGTTTGGCATGTGCAATCATTCCAAATTTCCCCTAGCATCCTTGAAATTAATGTACAGTATCAACAAACAGACAGAACATTCAAAATGTTTCCTCCAAATAGAAGAAATTGATAGTAAATCTAATAAAAAATATGTAGTGACCCAAAATGCAAAGAAAATACAACTTCAATACAAAGCATCTTCAAAAAATAAGATGCTTCCATAAAAAGTTCACAGTGTTTACCTATCAGTGTCTAGAACAAGCTGGGAAGAACAGCTAAAAAATGCAAACCAGAACCAGTGTCTGGAAAAAGTAAGCTCAGTAGCACTTTAAATATGCTCAAACCTCATACACATAAGAAAAAAGGGGAAGAGATGCAGGCTGGAATGGGAATGGCGTTCCCTCTATAGGCGAAGAAAACGAATCGCGGAACAACTTGAGAGTCACACGATATCTCAAGAACGACAAAGAAGACAAAGTAGAGAAATGGAAATGATTGAACTAAAGCTACATGAATTATACAAATTCCAGGAGAGACAGAGCAAAGGACATCATGAAATAAGTGAAATTCAAAATATTTTTTCTCCCATGCAAAATCAAGATAAACTAAATCTAGTATCGGGCCCCTGCGAAAACTGTCTACGGGCTCACCATAGCCCGTGTTACCTGGAACTTATTGTTCCAGGTAACAATAAGTTCCAACTTATTGTTCCAGGTAGCGAATCATTAACAACAACAACCTGCGAAAGGAAGATGGAACTTTCACAGATGACAACAAAGAAATAACCAAAATGTTGAGTAATCAGTATGACTGTTTTCAGCAAGCCACTAAACACACTGAAGATTGATAATCCAAATAAATTTTTCATGGATGTGATACAATATCAAATCATATCAGATGTCACCCTATCCCCCCCCCACTGGATTTTGAAAAAGCCATAAACAGTATGCCTATGCACTCTGCACCAGGCCCTGATTCTTGGAACTCTATATTTATCATGAACGGTAAAAAAAAAAAAAAATTTGCAGGCCCTATACATTCTATGGAGACAGAGCCTAGATACTGGTGTTATTCCTATCACACTAAGAACAGCAGAGATAGCACCACTCCACAAAGGAGGAAATAAAGCAGAGGCAAAAAATTACAGACCAATAGCACTAACATCACACATCAGGAAAATCTTTGAAAGAGTGTTAAGAAGTAAGATCACAAAATACATGGAATCACAGCATCCCCATAACCACAGCATCTCCCTAGACAACATGGATTCAGACCAGGGTGCTCTTGCCTATCACAATTGCTGGACCACTATGCCTTAGATGGGCCTGGGGCCTCGTAGCCTGGTGGATAGCGCGCAGGATTCGTAATTCTGTGGCGCGGGTTCGATTCCCGCACGAGGCAGAAACAAATGGGCAAAGTTTCTTTCACCCTGAATGCCCCTGTTACCTAGCAGTAAATAGGTACCTGGGAGTTAGTCAGCTGTCACGGGCTGCTTCCTGGGGGTGGAGGCCTGGTCGAGGACCGGGCCGCGGGGACACTAAAAAAAAGCCCCGAAATCATCTCAAGATAACCTCAAGATAGATGCCACGGAGGACAAGCAAATCGCTGATGTAATTTACACAGATTTTGCAAAGCCTTCGACAAATGTGACGATTTTGTTATTGCTCGCAAAATGCATTCAAAAGGAATTACCAGAAAAATAGGCAGACGAATCTACAATTTCATGGCTAACAGAACCCACTGTGCAAAGTCAACAGAATAAAATCCGAACCATCAACTGTGAAGAGCTTAGTCCCTCAGGATATTATGCTTGCTCCAGTACTTTTTCTCATTCTCATATCAGGTATAGACAAGGACACAATCTATAGCACTTTATCATCCTTTGCAGATGACACTAGGATTTTTATGAGAGTAGACAAGATAGAGGATACAGCAAACCTTCAATCAGATGTAAATCAGATCTTTCAATGGGCTACAGAAAATAACACAGTATTTAATGAAGATAAGTTCCAGCTCCTGTGCAACGGAACAAATGAAAATGCTGTATAAAAATAACCACGTACAAAATGCGGTCAAATCATACCATAGAATGAAAAAGCAATGTAAAGGATTTGGGTGTACTCATGTCGGAAGACCTTACCTTTAAATAACACAAAGTAGCCATCACAACAGCAAAAAAAATGACAGGTTGGATAACAAGAACCTTTCAAACTAGAGACGCTATACCAATGATGATATTTTTCAAGGTGCTAGTGATCTCTAGAGTAGAATACTGTTGCACAATGACAGCCCCTTTCAAAGCCAGAGAAATTGTTGACCTGAAAAGCTTGCAAAAATCCTTTACTGCTAGAGTCCACTCAGTAAAACATCTGAACTATTGGGACCGACTAAAATGCCTGAATCTGTATTCTCTTGGGTGCAGGCAAGAGAGATACATAATAATTTACACATGGAAAATAAGAGAGAGGCTGGTCCCAAACCTGTACACAGAAATAATACCACATGACCCCAGAAGGCATTTCTGGATATGCAGAATACTTCCGTTGAAAAGCAGAGGTGCAACAGGTACTCTCAGAGATGACTATCAACATCAGAGACCCAAGACTGTTTAACACGCTTCCACTACACATAAGGGGCACAAGTGGCCGACCCCCCCCCCACCCTCCCCCAGACAGTGTTAAGAGAGAGACTTGATGAACACCTCCATAGGATACCTGATCAACCAGGCTGTGATTCCTTTCGGCAGGCTGTGAGTAGCTGCATCTAACAGCCTCATTGACCAGTCCAGCAACCAGGCGGCCTGGTCGAGGATCGGGCCGTGGGGACGCTGAGCCCCGAAACCATCGCAATGTAGGTCTATGGGAGAGTGAGCTCTAGCTATATATATATGGAATTGGCTTCAACAACCTATTCCTTCTTTGCATTCCACTTGCTGACCACTCATACAGGGAATGAGAACTTCCTTATAAAACTGATTCAATTCATGTCCAGCTTCCACTAATGTCCCCTTATCCTACTTCTTTAATTTAAATAGGATTCCTTTGCTCACTTTGTCTATTCCCTTCAAAATCTTTTTTTGTAATTATCATATCCCATTCCTTCTTTCCTCTAAAGTTGTGAGGGCGCTGTTCTCTCAACCTATCCTCTTAGCTGAGGCTTCTCAATTCTGATACTAATCTAGATGCAAACCTCTGAATTTTCTACTTTTTGCCAAGTTTGAAATTGAGTTCTTGATGGTAAGGAAGGTACATTAAGCATGCCTTCAGTGCAGTGTTGATAACAGTGACAGTGGTAGAAGCAGAAATGGAATGACTAAAAAAATGCTAGTTAGGAAGCTGGCTGCTCATGAAATAAGCAAGGAGATGTCATGCCAAAATGAACAGTGCCGAGAAGTGTATGTTCAGTTGCTAACTTAACAGCAGTCATGGTATTCAAATGACAAAATTCACTCAAGAAAGGCAGTCTCATTACAGAGTGCAGCCACTTGTATTCACGAGTTTAACCACCTTGAGGAAACTGAAGATTTATCTACAAAGGAGATGAATAATTTTTGAAGAAGTGGGATTGCCCTGGAAAAGTTACAAACATACTCTATGACTCATAATGGTAAATGACCCTACGGATGGTTACAAGCTAAATAAAACAGATATCAAGTGTGTTGTGGTATGCCAAAGCTGCTGGAATACACAAATGTAAATTATTGGCAAATGGTAAAAGCTTGTAGCCTAAACCACTGAACAACAATTCCTTACAAGGAATTGTACTTAATGTTTGGTTTTCTTTGTAATTTGTGTATGTCCATACTTGCAGAGAAAAGCAGTTTTTACAATAAAGTCAACTATTCATTTTGATTTGTTCCCAATACTGTGCAATACTCTGTCAATCACTAACATCTTGATTTTTTTTGGCTTTATGTGGGTTTTACATAAACATAATCTCCCATGCAAATCAAAGGCTCCCTGTATAATGATACCTGCTTGATGGGGTTCTGGGAGTTCTACTCCCCAAGCCCAGCCCGAGGCCAGGCTTGACTTGTGAGAGAAAATGTGTGAAAATACAACAAATTTATACATAAAGCAGAAGATAGAAAATTAATACCAGTATGCAATAAAAAATTATAAACAGGTTTACTGCAAGAAACAGTTTACACATTTATACCGAATTCTTGTCACACATGTTCCCTGCCAATACCTGGAGAGCATACCTGGAGTGTTTCCGGAGTTCTTCTACTCCTGAAGGCCAAGCTCGAAATGATAAATTTTAAATAGCACATCTCATTCAGATTAATTAAAAAACTTAATTAAATCAAAATATTCATGTTTATTCCTGGTGCATACCTCTTGATCAATCTAATAAAAGTCTTCCCGTATGTCAGCCATGGTATCCTAGCCTTGAACTACTGCTTTATATATATTGTTTATCTTTACCTTCGTGCAGTAACAGCCACTGACTTGCCTTCACCGCACCATTCATTCAGTCACTTTCTCCTCGGCCCTTCCATATTTAATTCTGATTTCAATTAACAAAAGTTCATTTTGTTCAGTTCAAACTGAATTTATAATATTTTAAGAAAAGTCAAAGTGATCTTGTGAAAAGAAAAAAGTGAACAAAGTGCCAGCACTACGATACTGTTAAGCCAAATCAGGGAAAATGTGCGGTACCAAGTAATGACAATTGCAAACTGAAGTCATGCATCATCCTTGCCATCCCCTGTACAGTGTCAAAGAAGTGTCAGAGAACACTTCCTACAATCTTACTCTAAGTCATGCTATTTTGAAACACTGTATAATCCACCTGGTAGTCAAGATGTGTTCTCTGTGCAAAGATCCAATCAGCATGAAAGTCCTTCTCCAGTCCCTGTGCAATAATTATTAAGGGACCGATAGTCCAATTCAGCTAAAACTTTTACCAGCTGCCCAACAGCTTGCTTACTCTGGTTGATATTAACGATGGTAAGAGATGCATTCCAGTTTAGCAACACTTGCAAGCAAACCTAACTAATATCCTCAACTCAACTTGTCTTTATAAATTTAATAAAACATCTTTTCCAATCATGGCAAGTATTACATTCTCATACATACATCAATTACTTGGCATATAAACAACCCTTTTAAAAAGGATTAAATCGATGAAGGTTACTGTACAAGATTAATGGCATTCAAATCTGAACAATGCCACTTAACTTTTTTTTTTCCATATCTTTTGATTAGTAAATTGAATGTACACCAAGAAGAGGCAGGAAGATCACCAGCATATTCTAATACTGTGTGTGTAGTATTAAAATAGACAAAACTATGATCATTGTTTGGTAACCCTGATATGGAACGTTAATAGTTAGCCATTTTTCTTTATCTCTGTGTAAAGGACCTATTGTTATGATAAACTATATATTGTACTGAAAACTTTAAGAATTCCTAATGAATCCAAAGTGAACCTTTGGATTTTATGGTTGATTGCAGGTCAACCATATGCAATAAGCATCCGGAAATTCCAATTGTACAGCAAATGGGCAAGATATCTCACAGACACTTCCATCACATTTTCAACCTTTTCAGTACAACAACAATGGCCACCCATTGGTCACTTTAGGCATACAAGCACTTATGAATCAACATTTATAATAAAACTTAAGTGTTGCAAAGTACTGTACCAACATGAGCTAACCAAGAGGAAATTAAAGTTGAGTACATTAGTTTTCAATATTACTTATAAAGTTCATTGCTGAACTGGAATTCATTTTCTAATAACCTCTAGGCTACTAAAATCTAGTATTTACTAAGTAATTCTTGACTTTGTGGATGGAAAATGATATGCATCCTCCTTAACCTATGATAAATGTGGTTTTTGATGCAGCCTTGCAAAAAAAAGAGTGAACCCATGTAAAATCAATTATATGAAAAAGCACACAATAGCACCATACAATTTTCATTAGAGCAAGGCTTGAACTGCATACCCTTGAGCTCTATATGCAAGCATATCTCAATCACTGGAAAAAAAAAAAGCATTTCATACCATAATATAATCTTATATCAAACAAAATCAGCAGGCTTTTAAAAAAAAATTAACTGCATATATCCTAATGAATATGAAAATGAAATAAAATCAAAGAACATCACCCAAACCTAAGTGGAACAATATATAGTTAATCCCGAAAGTTAAGGCAAGATTATCAGCCAAAAAAAAAGAGATACCATCAACTATACGAGGTTAATACTGGTTAGTATCAATGGCGTGTGGGTAACTACCTGTTTTCGAGGCTTAAGATTTTCTTTCCACTCTCTTACTTCTCTCTGGTACTCTTCATCTTGGGATTTTAGCTTGTTGGTTTCATGTTCCATCAACATTTTACCTGAGTGTTAAAATATTGCAATGACTTATTTTATAGTTTATTAATGTAATGAGAAAAGTTGATAATTTATATGGAAGATAATTTTATCCCAGAACTTTTGAGAATTGCCGTTATTTATGTGTCAAACTAACTGTAAAAAATGTGTTGTCTTTTGCTAAGAAAAACATCAGGATACATACGCTTCTCATTCTGCAGTTGTTCCAACTCCTTAACTGTATATTCTGAGGAGGCCTGAAGCTCCTCTAACTTTCGCTGATGTTTTTGTTCTGCGCGTTTCTTTTCTGCCTCGTATCTACGTTTTTCATTCTCCTGGAACTATTAATGAACACTTTAGATAAAATATAATCCATTTCAACAATGAAAATTTAGTTTGCAAATTAGTCCCCTTATTTATACTATATGTATTATCAAAATGTAATTAACATTTATCAACAAAACAAAATAAAGGATTTTTCAAATAAAGACAGATTTATACCTTTTTCAGTTTGTTTTTCTCATCTTCATGGGAATCTGGAAGGTGTTGTGTGCTTATTCTCATGCTCTCACGGAACATAAGTTCACGTGCTTTCATTTCCTGACGGATTCGTTTTGGCAACTGTCTCTTTTCAACCTGTTAAACAAAGAATTAAAATAAGACTTGTTAAATTTGAATCAATTATTTTTTAAATTGGTACATACACTGATAGTTTTTGAATTCCATTAAACACATGCAAAATGTACTGAACATTTTCTGAAGTTACAGTACTAGTTATTTTGCTTGTGTGTTATCTTTGAAGAAAGTCCAATATACTGTTGCAAAGGTTAGACAGTAAATAAGGAAATGTGGTAGATGTAACATAAGAAAGGAATGAAGGTAAGGAGGTCAAGGAGTTAACATATAAAATTTTCTGCTCCTCTGAAAATATGAACACTGTAATGCAGACAGCTCTGGCAGTGAACCAATTGTTCTACATACCACAAATGTGCTCATTCTACTGTAATATAACTATGTAGTACCTATATTTACTATTAAACATCATTAAAATTGGTAATTGAAGAGATCCCTTGGTGCATGATATACGAAACCCTTCAAGTATTAATAACTCAAATTGGAATAAAACAATGCATGCCTCCATTAAAAGTACAAGCTTTATGCAAGCATAGGTTACCAAGACTGACAGTCACACAGATTGTGTAACATGGTTAGGCCTAGGATCTTATTAAAATTCTGAGATATGTTTCAGTATTATGAATACTTAAGAGAGGATCATATATACAGTTGATAAATGCTATAAATTTGGTTTTGAAAGTAATGAAAATAACAATGTTTTAATAATACAGGGATTAGATTTGAAACTTAATCCATATGACAAAAGAAATCAATATAAATTATATTTGAAGAGTAAATTCATCACCATAGATAGTCATCAACCTATCAATGATGTCAACTTTGATCACCTCAGAATATTTTTTTTTACTCCATAAACCCCACAACCTTCGTATGGGCATGCACAATGGGCAAATATCAATGGTAAGGTGCTTACCAAATCAACTTCCTGAAAGACAATGGCATGTGACAAGATTATCAATATGAATAAGCATAACATTGTGGCATTAATGCAGATACCTGAGCCACACCAGCATTAAATGAAACCCCAACAAACTTATCCAACACTACCTGTTTGTAAACAATAGAAAAATTGGAAGCAAAGAGAAAGATAAATTACAAGAATATAATATTTTACCTCACCTGCTGTCTTTTAATTAGTTCTTCCTCTCTCATCTGATTTACCCGTTTCACTTGCTCCAGTTCCTTCTCATGCCGCAATAGCATCTAATACAAAGAAAAAATGTAGTAGTAACATGCTTGCCTAAGAACTTTCTTCCTCTAACAATTTATATCACTATAAACTAAATTTTATTTGTAACCAGACTCAGCAAAGTTTAATATGATTGAATGATTGAAGCTAGAAGAACTTATGTAATTTCTACAAACTGTGTATTACTGAAGAAAAGTAGGAGGAAGTTGATGGGGGGAGAGAAAAAAAGGGGAATAACAGAGCAACCATAATTTAAGGCTGTTCTGTAGATTTTTTTTACTGAGCGACATTAATCATTCAATTAACCATTCAATTCATACCAAGTGCTGGAAACATTATTGAAAGTTATGACCTTTATCAAGATTTGTCCATTTCTAGCCCTTGTCTTTACATATTTGTCAGAAGTCCTTGCCCAACATCTTTTTTTGAATAGAATGTATTTAGAAGAAATTACTAAAAATATAATTTAGAGAAAAAAAAAACATTAAATGTAATGAAATACCATTTTCTGGGCGAGACCCGGAGGCTCCCAGGAGCTATCCAAGCTGATAAGTAATATATTAGACTTTCAAATTATTGTGAATGGAGTTCATAGGCCTACCTACCTACTTAGGCTTGTGGTTCTGACCACAAGCCAGAATCTGGCCCCCTCAGAGAGGCTCGAGGAGCAATGGCCTATAGAATAGCACATGTGATTTGGATCATTCTATGTCTGTCATCGACTGGGTCTGGCACCCAGAAAGGTAAGCATCCCAAAACAAACAACCTATTCTGGTTGAAACTACTACTGAAAGTCAAATGAGTGGACAGAACTCTCCAAAGAAAAACAAGCAAACAAGCATGACGTCACCAAGGACAGAACCTTGGCGACGTCAATTTTACCCACTTTATCAACATTATTCTCTAGGACATGTATTCTTTCTCAATCATATCAAAATCATGTCAGAACTAAAGGTGTGGGTTGCTGGCACGAGGGGTCTGGGACTCCCCCTTCCCCCTCCCGGGGAGGGGGGAGCTGCGCAGACAGTGGTGCAGCAATTGATGATGTCATTGCGCATTTGCATGTTATTCTTTGGGGAGTTCTGTCCACTTGTTTGACTTTCAGTAGTAGTTTCAACCAGAATAGAGGGTTTGTTTTGGGATGCTTACCTTTCTGGGTGCCTAATCTGGTCGATGGCAGATATAGAATGCTCCAAATCACATGTGTAGGCCATTGCTATAGGCCATTGCTCCTCGTGCCTCTCTGAGGGGGCAAAGTTCTGGCTCATGGTCCCCGGTAGTCCTATGAACTCCATTCACACTGACTGATGCCAAAGTCTAATATATTACATATCAGCCTGGATTGCTCTGGGGAGCCGAAGGGGCTCCCTCCAGAAAAAACTGGAAATCGAGTGACTAAACAGGGTAGCATGTGACAACTTCAAGGGGGCAAAAATGCCTGTAAGAATGAAACTATGTGAAGGAGGAAAACCGACGTGAAAAATATACCTACTAGTGAAGGCCGCAGAAAAATAGAATACGGTTAAGACAAAAAAATTATCACTTTTAACAATGATATCTGATGCACTACTTTATAATAAATGCCCCTAAAGATCTGTTGTATGCTTACCAGCAGATTTAATACACCAGAAAAGTCCCAAGTAAGATATTATTAATCTCTTGCCACCTAACTTTACATTGGTTCCTATGGTACTAATTCCTATACAGTATTCAGAAATAACAAAATAAAAACCTGATGTCTCTGGAGGAAGAATATGTCTTTAAGTTGCCTCTTAGAGAGTTGATGCTTTTCATGTAAGTGGCGTTCTTCCATCTCCCACAGTGCAGATTCTCTAGATCGTAAAAGCTGGTGTTTTTGCTGAAGAAACTGCCTCTCTAATAAAGCAATTCTTTCTCGATGATCATCACCCAAGCGCTTGAGAGACACCTGAATGAGAAACAAACCTTTATAAATAAAAATGTAGAAAAACACTGAAAAAACATTAAAGTTATGGCAAAAACAATCAATTCAATGTGTGTGCCCCCACCAATTCCAAATGTGGCCACTTTTCTGACATTTTTCACCGTGCTGCAAATGATCATATTTGTTTTGACATATTGTGGCTTTGAAATTAGAAATGACAAGTGTCCCAGAAGTTGTACACACTTACCTCATGAGCTTCATGTAATTTCTCCAGAAATGTTTTCTCTCTCTCACTCTGATCTTCGTCCAATCGCTCCTTGCGAGATTTAAAGGCCTCCTTTCTTTTATCCTTCAAGACAAAAAACATATAGGCACTCATTAGGAAAACTTACTCTGGTCATGGAAACAATTTTGGCTCTTGACAGGAATAGAAATCATAATCACAGAACATCTGTAATGAAATTAAATATTCTGAACAAAACTGGGGTGAGATCTGTCCCTGAACTTCAATCTACTGTTCTTATCGGACTTCTACAATACATTAAAGCATTTCTCTTTCTCTTTCTAAGAAACTGTATTACAAAGAGAAAGAAACCCAGACATTTAGTACTGTATTTACTAACAAATGTTCCTAAGTTTTGTTTTTTCAAAAACATATTATACTGTCTATAAATAACATTGTACAGCATCATAATTATCAATTAAATTATTAGTGTGGAAAAGGCACATGGGATTTTGATGTATGAAAAAGTATATGCTTAACTGAATCATATTAAGGGGCCGTCTGATTCAAATATGCCAAAAATGAAAACTGGTTCGATTTCAATCAAACTATTTTGACTAGTTGTATATGAAAAGTGTTTCATCTGGTCCAAGTTTTAGCATCGTAGCATAAATAGGAAGGGAGAAAAAAATATTGAAGTGTCAAAATTTTTCCAAAATGGTAAAAAACGATTATCAAACACAAGTGTCAACTGAAATCATGTCTATGACTCTCAGCTATCACAATAGCATATATTAAAAAAATATTATAATTAGTTTTATTAAAAAAAATTAAGTTAAAAAATGAATTTTTTGTTTTTTGTTTGTTTTTCAATTTGGTGTATTTTTTTTATTGAACAATTTGCATGAAACTTAATACACCTGACTGCACATAAGCCTATCTGTAAGGGTGCCAATTTTGGAGAAAATTGATTGATGTCAACCTCAGCCAGAGATGGCAGCACCTTAGACTTTATATTTTAATGATTTATTTTTCAAGAAGCATAAACGACTTCAAACTCTTTCATTTTTATTCATTTACATGAAACTTATACCTTATATGTAAAGTTTGTCTCTAAAATCTGAGGTTGCTTTGTTTCTCTAAGTTCATTTATTGATTTTATAATAGCAATAAACATGACATATCTGCATAATTTTTTGGGGGAACTTTGACTATTTGTATTAGGAAAACTAAAGATGTTTTGGAAACTCCCAAACCACAGATCCTTTATTATATGCTAATGTTTCAGAAAAGTGTCATAGAATGATTATATCTAAAAAGGTGAAAGGTTTGAACTCACTTGAAAATGTGTAATTTTTGTTGAAAAAAAAATTATATCTCCCCCTGTTTAGGCTGCAGTACTGAAACTTGAAACAATTGCAGCCCTTTTCATATACAACTAGTCAAAAAACATTGGTTGACATTGAACAACTTTTCCAAAACTAATCTAACGGCACCTTAATGACAAAAAGAAAATGGTTCACAAATTTATATTATGTATTTAATCCTATTTTATAATATTAAGAACTTACTTTAGGCAGAAGATCAATCTCTTGTTTCAAGAGTTTGAGTTCAGTTTTGAGGGACTCTCGGAAAGCCTTCAATTCACGTTCTTGCTCTGACCTAATTTTTTTGCTGGCATTCTTCAATTCAACTTCTTGCAGAGCTTCTGCTTTTTCTACCTGGTTAGTGGAACAAAGCAAAAGTATAGCATGAACCCTTGAAAATAAATTATAATTATTGTATTTAATACAAGTTTTATGATGTAAATAAAACAAATTCACATAAAATACACAAAATGCAGCTTTCCTATAAGATGCCCACTTTATGTTGAGATTTCCCAGGATATACTTGCTATATGTGTGAACTTTTAAAAAGTAACTCCAATATATCTTTTAACTGTAAAACTTAAATGCTTACCTGCTGTTTCTGTTGTCTGTTGAGAGCCTCTATTTCAGTATCATATCCTCGTAAGAGCTGTTGTCTCTCCAGGTCAAATTTCTTTTCCTGTTCTACTCTAGCTAAATTTGCTTTCATGCCCAGTTCCTGAAACTGTTTCTGCTCAATTTTTTGTAATATCTTCAGCTCGCGCAACTCTTGCTTCCTTACAAAATGGCCAGTGCCCATTCCCTCATCTTCATAAAATACCTAGGGGAAAGAAAGTTAGATTAAATAAAGATGTTTGAAGGGTAATGCAATAAACAAGTAAAACAATTTACACAATTCGAACACACTATACCATCAAACCCAAAGGGAAATGTGTGTTCACTAATAACCAATAACAAAGTAGTTACCACAAAAACAGATACTGGAAAGGTCATATTTATACTCTGCTCCTGGAATTAAGGATGGGCAGCTTCTCATGTGTCCTTAAAACTGTTTAGGAAATAGTGTGGACTCATTTTCCATACAATAATTGTAAGTCTTCTAAGAATATTATCAGCATTGTGCAGTTTTAATTTTATTGTTTCATGGCAGTATTCTATGTAATTCTTATTACAGAGGCCTACCAAATTTAGAAACAAAGTATTTCTTACAAATATGCTAGAGATTTGTTAAAACAAAACTAAATTATTTGATTGAAAAACATAATTGAACATTTATTTAGGTAGGACTTGGTTGCCCTTAGAAACACTAAAGGTTATGTGTCATTTTCTTTACCAACAGTGAAGATACTGGAAAGGGAGTACGTAACAGACACGAAAGGAAATGTCAGAGGAAGGAGGAAGAGAGATCAAAGAGATCTATCTTTGCGATTTCCCTGCTGTTCTTGGTACAGAGGGGAATAGCAAAGGTGGACAAGGCCAATCTATTCCACAAGAAGTGAAATAGAACACCGACACTGGTAGAATTTGGATATATATAAATGTCAGAGATAAACTAGTACTGTACTCATATGCAGTGCAGGTGGTAAACACACAGGATAAACTAGGAGCAGAGGTAGTTGAAGCCACCTCATTACCAAAGATCCAAAAGCACCAGAATGTCAAGAGAAATAACTGCACTGTGTATCCAATAGCTTGGAAACAGGGCCAAAGAGCTAAGTCTCATTGACTGCAGGCACAGATATGTAAGCATTAATTCATGTACTACATATAAAAAAATATACACTGAAAATGGGCTTAAAATAAGTATCCCTAAAACACTGATAAATGATAGTAAAAAGTTTGAGTATTATAAGAAAAATGCAATATCTTCATGTAATAATTCTTGTTTGACAAGGCTAATAAAAATGTGTAAAGATTACACACCAATCAACTAGACCAAGCCAACAGGTAATTTAACATTTCTTATGAAAAAAGTCAGCAATAATTCTGTAGAGAAACACCAGGCTGAGTAAACTTTATTGAATATGATGCATCATTTGCAAGGATAACAAACCCTACGAGAAAACATGCTAGCCAATTATAAAGACAAAACAAGCGAGGTGTTAATGTAGTGACTGTCATGGTTTATATTTTGAAGCATTAATTTAATAAGTGATGGCTGAACTGTTAAACTGATACTAAAATTATACAAATTATAACTTAATCCCTGGCCTTTCTGACCTTATGATACCTTCCCTTCACTTTTTCTCTCCTAAAAGCACCCAGTCATGTTTTCCATTAAGTGGGATAAAGTTCTTAGCCTACAGGCAACACACCTCTAAGTGTCTACTTCAAATTTCCTGTTTCTTCACATTTATTAGTATTTTGTCCTCCCTGCAACCACAAACTATTCTACATAAACAGCTTCAAGCTTAAAATTAATCTACACACAAACCTCCTGTAACAATTGTGAACAATCACAAAAAGTTTCCTTTAATACAAACCAAACACAAAGAAATATTCACCTGTCTTGTAGTAACAACTACACCATCAACGACAAACTTTCGGGTACGTTTTCTTGTTTTCTTACGCAAGGCTACTAAATCACTCTCTTGTTTGGTCATTCTTGCATTCCTGCTATCTCTGTGTTTTTCCAGCGGTTGGAGGGTGACATCAGACAGGTCTGCTTGGTGTGATCTTCGTAGTACAACACCGTCCAGACTCTCATCATCCCTCTCGCGATGTCTGTGCTCTCTTTCTGAACTGGTTGTGCTCACATTGTCCCACTCGGATCTACTATAATAAAAAGTTTATGAATAGCATAAAAATGACTGTACTTCTTACAAAATTCTTATGACAAAAGGTATAGAAATACAGTATCTCTGACTTGCGTCATTCCTGAAAGCAAAAATTTTTATTCAATTATTAACTGAACTGCATACACTTATGCTTTAAAAAAATATATGGATGAATAATGAAATTTATGCTAAAGGCCAAGTGCTGAAACCTACTAGTTATTATTCAGTACAGTACTTGCTGAGAAAGTCATTTTCACTGTTGATGTTTCCTTCAGTAACTCAAAACTTCCAGTAATAAATATAACATATCCCCTTTTTATCCATGAGTTGCATTAATTCCACAGACCAAATAAATTTTAATAATACAGTACATTACAAATAAATCAAAACAGCCAATTAAAGATTTTTATGTTGCAGTAGGTTAACAGGGTTGTGTAATGTCTACATAGATTTTTTAATACATATATTGATGGGTTAATTAGGAATGTAAAGTCAAGAACACCTGAAGCAGGAATGGATTGTAATGCGAGATAGTTATTGAAATGTCTGAGTGCATATGATGCGTGTTCTCTGCCAAGAATGAGGCAGAGAATTGGGGAAGAATTGCAAAAGATTGTGAATGAATTTGATAGTGTGTGCACAGTGAAGGTGATGGTCAATGTAGGGAAAAAGTAAGGTTATGATATCTGTGAGTAGAATATCGCAGATATTGTTGATCTGCAGAGAGTGGTAAGACGTGATTTGTTGATCCCCAGAGTGTTGCAAGACAGTGATTTGAACTGCAGGATAAAAATGGGGAAGAAATACTGAAAGGTGTTGCAAGTTTTAAATCTTTAGGCGAGTGTTAGATAAAAATGAAAGTATTGAGTGGGAGAAGAGTGATAGGAGAGAGAAAAGGAAGGAATGTTATGAGAGATGAGAGAGAACTAAGATAGTATACTATTCCAGCTCTTGCATATGGAAGGGAAAATTGTGTTCAAGAATACAAGCAGTGGAAATTACCTTTTCGTAAAAACACTGGTGTAAGTGAGAGACAGGTATAGCAATTTGGAAATGTATGAAATATGGTATGAGTGATTATATAGGAATGAAAGATTATTCAGTCTAATGATTGTAGTCATTCCCTTAACAGGTGAGGGAATGAACTGTGGAGTTGTAGAATGGCTGAAGCACAATACAATGAGGTTGTACAAGGCCAAAATAAAGGGTTCATATGAAAGAGATGACCAGTATCATGGAAGGAATGAATGGAACACCATATCAAACAAAGGTTTTGGGTAATTGATGAAGTGAACTTTAATGAGTGAAATGGTTATGTGGCGATAGTTCCTTGGAGAAACTTCTGCTGTGGAGAGCCCCCAAGGTGACACAAGGTATCCACCCTATTGTCCTCATCCCTTTATCTAATGTTGATCTACTCACCTTATTCCAGTCATTTGATCAAGGTGCATTTACATACATGTTACAAAGGGCACCAATATTTGCTTGAATAAAGAATAACAATTAATTACCTCTCTGATATTCTGTGAGCTTCCCTGCCAATTCCATTTGGCAAGATCTTTATTCCAGGAGAATTAGATACGGGGGTACTTTGCTGTGAGTAATCATTCTGGTGTGTTGGAGTTGAAACTGTAGACCCTGTGGAGACTCCAGACTCCAGAGAAACTTCACTTCCCGCAGTCAATTCTCTAACAAGTGCAGGCTTCTTGGGCGAGCTGTCCTTTACAGTCTAGCAATGAGACAGCAATTAACACAAATGTGAAAGAAAAACTGTATTGGAATCAGTTTAAAAGCATGGAAGAAACTTAACTTTTTCCTTCTTGTTCAAGGGTCAATAACTATTTTCATTCATACAATAATAAATTATTATGGTAAAGAGAATTCTTTATTCTTATTAGAAATTAAAAAAAATAGACCAAGGATAAAATAATACAAATCCATGATAGGGAAAAAATGTTCAAAATTTTTTTAGTTATATTTTGCAACTAATATAAAATTGCTTGGTAAGTATGTTCATTTGTTACATTTATGATATTTTATACGTTTGGAATACACATGGTCTAATATTGAGCTACAGTGATCAACTCATTTTATAATAATATAATGGCAATAAAAAAATCCTTTCTCTGGCTTTTCTAGATGGCCGCCACCATAGGGGAAGGTAAACGCACCAATAGATGATTGTTTTAAAGGATTCTCGCCACAACTAATGAAACGAAGTTTTCTTGGCAGGTCAGACACACTTGAGGATATGTTAAAGTAGTATGAAGAAAAATTATTTGAATTAGAAGAAAATGGAGCTCTCAGGAGTGAGTTTTGCACTTTAAAAGGAAGCATTCCTCAGCAAGGTAAGAAAATTACCACCTTAACGGACACGGTAAAGATTCAAGCTGAACAAGTCAAGGAACTAATGAAAGAAAATGAGGTATGAAAGTGAAGAGTGGTGAATTTGACGAAATTAACAAGAAATAGACTCATATGGTGAACAACTACAAGAAACCCTAAAGGCCAACAGAGAGGTAGGCAAGGATATGCAAGGAAAAACTTCATGGACCACTCACATAGGAGGTGGTTACTAAAGAACTAGAAAAGTACAAAGAGGAAATTAAAGAGACATATGCACACGTTGTAAAAGAGAGAGACAACGAGGGAAGAAAGTTTGGAAGTCAAGATCAAAAATGACCCACAAGAAACAGAAGTTAGGCAAGCAATTAGGAAAACTGATTACCAACAGTAAACTAATGCAAAACACTGCAGATAGTCTATAATAATTTTTGGATGTTTGGAAAAGGAAACATCTAGGGTGGACAGTGCAGCAGAAGAGATGAAAATCATAAAGAAAATAGTAGCTTTAGGACAAGGCCTCAATTCAAAAGGAAAATGTCAGTGATTTTTAGGTCAGGAAAATATGAGAAAGACAAGAACCGCCCCTTAATCCCCCCTGGGCTGCTCGTGATTATAGCCCAGGCAAAAGAAATAAAAAAATATAAAAAAAGAATTTGTCTTATAAAAGTGTTCATTTGTGTTCCCTGACCACAGGAAAAATAATAAAAAAAATTTGGAGGCGACATATTTGGTCCACAATAGGGCGAGGAAGTCCGGCAAAACAAAAATTCAATGTGAATAAATGCAATGTTATGGAATATCGAATCAGAGAAAATAGACCACACACAACTTGAAAATTATATGGAAAGGAATTACAGAACTCTAATAAAGAGACCCTATGGGGTGGGTTTGGATAGTAAGCTGTCGCCAGAGGAACACAAAGAACATTGTGAGAGAAGTGTATGCGTTGCTTTAAAACATCAGACTTGCTTTTAATTACAGTATATGGATGGTGAAATATTAAAAAACTGTTCATGACCTTTGAGACAAAAATTGAAATATGAAGCAGTTGTATGGTGCCCAAATCTCAAGAAGCACATAAAGAAACTGGAAATGGTGCAGCGGCATGCAATAAAATGGCTTCCGGAACTGAAAAACAAGAGTTATGTACTAGAGGCGTTAAACAAGCCAAAACTAGAAGATAGAAGAAAAAGTGGCGATATGATCACCACGTACAAAAATGCTAACAGGAATTGACCAAATTGACAAAGAGGAATTCCTGAAACTGGTAACATCATGAACAAGAGGACACATTTAAGCTAAGGAAATAAAGGTGCCAAAATAACATTAGAAAGTTTTCTTTTGCAAACAGTGGTTAATGATTGAAACAAACTAAGTGAGAAGATGGTGAAGGCCAAAACCATCAGTAGTTTCAAAGTGTTATACGACAAAGAGTACTGGGAAAACTGGATACCACGCACGTAGCTCTCATCTTGTAATTACACTTAGGTAATTACACATATACATACTCATATATTTATTTATTTATTTTTTAAAGAACTGTATAACACTTATCTCAATCTTTTTTCCCCCACTTTATTCCTGCATTAAAATACAAGAAAATAAAATTTCAAAAATAAATATGAATCTTTAGTTGTATTTACCTTTGAGTCATGGTGATCAGATTGGTCAAACACATCATCATCCACATCTGTTGCTCCAACAGTTGTACCTTCTATTAATAGTGATACAGTTGGTCGGGGCTCTTCTTCTGCTGAACTCAAAGACCGCCCTGTTGAAGCAGTTCCTCCACTTAGATTGGAAATGTTAGATATATTGGAGGATGTTTCCAAATGTCCCTGGTGATCTGGCTCACTTTGAACTGGCGATCTGTTCGTTATTGTCTTTTGATCGACAGGTGCCGATTCTGGTGCTTTCACTGAGACAAGGGAATCCTTCTGGGAAGGTGGAGTATCCTTAGCTAAATCAGATGCTTCTGACAAGTCATCTACAGCTACTACAGAAATGTGCGTTGTATCATTTGTAGAATTAACAATAGGCGAGATTTCTTCCGGTTTTCCAGTTTCCTCAAGTGTCATTTCATAACGTGACCTATTAAAACAAAATTCAGTTAGCATTAGTAACAAGCAGTTTCTAACACCAATAATCTCTATCGAAAGTAAGGAAAACTAATTCTCAATGACATGTATGATTATGAAACAATAATAATAATTATTAGCAGTGATTTTGTATACTGTTAGGTGTTTATGAAATTTGTACTCAATTTTATTTCTTACTTTGAGGAAGGTTCTAGTTCAGGAGGAGAGCCCATCTCGTCATGAGGTATAGACGAACTGCTTATCACAACTTCACTTTCATCGAGTTTATGTCCATCATTTGATATAACTTGGACTTCTGTTACACACTCAGTCTTGTCTGTTAACAATAAGATTGCACTAGGTTAACATGATGACTAAAACCACACATCAGAAAATGGAGAAACGACGATGTTTCAGCTTGATAATGGTCCAGGATGGACTGAAATGTTGTTGTTTCTCCATTTTGTGATGTTTGGTTCTGTCATCAGATCTTCAGCCATGTTATTGTGGCTCATCATCTGCAGATAAACATGAGCAGTCAAGTCAAAAAGTATAATAATACAGTAGAGTACCTTTAAGCCAAACCAATTTAGGCAAAAGCAAGGTGAGAATTAATGGCTATTCTAGATTATATAAACTGTACCTGTAACTATGTACAGTACCAGAATGCTAACCAAACATGAAGGAACTTTACCATTTTTTCCCCTTCTTATATTTATTAGATATATTTTTTGTGGGATGTATACAAGAAATGTTTGGTATTAATATCGTCAAATAAGTGTGGACTTGCACAAACTGGTAGAAGAATTGGAGGAACTGCTCAGAGGGTAAGAAACTGGATTTTATGGATATAAAACAAGAGGTAAGATATAAGAGTAATGTACAAATAGAATGGCAATATCAGTTAAGCAAAAAAAGTTTGAACAAGTAGATAGGGCAACATGATAGAAAAAAACAAAAAAAAATTATCAGTGTTGGTTGTGATGGACAAAAGTTTTAGGGCTGTGAAGAAGCAAAAGGTAAAGTTAATAAGGAAGAACTTTTGAGGAGAGATGAGCAATTATGGAGTTGGCTTAGTACTACTAAATTTAATTAAAGTTTTTTCTGTTACGAAGGAACTGAGTACATGGTAGTACTGTATTAGTAATTTGTTAGTTAGCTGTTACCACTTGGTCCCAACCATGATGAAAACCACCCGAGTACAGTATTATAACAAAATTCACATTAAAAATATAACTGGTAACAAAAAATAAATATACACTCACTGGCTTTCAATGAACAACATGCTTACCTTTTGTAACTGAATCTGCAACCACCACTTGGTCTGGCATAACTGTATTGTTCACATCCTCCTTGTCTGGAGTTAATATCACTGAGGAGCCTGTAAGAGTAACATTGGATATGTCCCCATCCTCCTGGGAACTCTTGCTGGATGCTGTGTCTCCAGCACTTGCAATTGCCGATTCTAAAATTCGTACTGCCTGTTCCTCAGCCTCGGATAAGGATGGGGATGAGGAAGTTGGCAATTGAGAAATGGAATCTTGCACATCAGGAGATGAGAGAGACTCCACTTCACCCTTAGAGCTTTCATCAACAATAGCAGGACCTATGTGTCATAAATCGTAAAATATATTGTATTATGATCATAGGAATTATAGCTGAAATATTATGTTCATAATTTTTCACAGCCTTAAGGTAAAGATTCTCATGCAATTTTTTTCATGCAACAGGCAAAAGCATTAAAAATATATGACCAATAATAGCACTGTTCAAAGGCACACAGCTCACTTAGTGAAGACATGAAATAAGGTGAAGACCTAAACAGGGAACAGAAATTTAGCAACTCATTTCTTAGTACACTGAAAACATGCACACACAAGCTCTTCAATCCATGCATCTAATTAGTCTAAGATTACCTTAAGTCAAAACATTGGCAGAAAAACACATATAATAATGGTGCCAATTTAGTTAGATCCTATTTCAATAACAAACAAAAACATTTGAAACAACACCCACCCCTTTAAATGTTGACATTAAAGATTGCAAAATGCAACATACTACATAAGTAAGTTGTCTTAATAAATCATGCATTGTACATTATATACAGCAAACTATTATGAATATGTTGACAATTATATGCTCTAACTTGAAAAGTTAATATAAAAACTGATATCAATTGAAAACCAATCTCAACAAAGATAAGAGGTAAATAACAAATATGTATGTATAAATTGTAGAGATGTAACGATACCAATATTTTGATCACAGCCAATACTACTAATTAACTGTCACCAATACTCTGGTACTATTAAAAACCCATACCAATACCTAGTATCTGTTTTCAGATGTTAAAACTATACCAACATGTGTAAAAAGAGTAAGTATTAAAGAATTGACCGAAATTTGACCTGAGCTAAGAAGGCCACCCCGAGTAGGGGTGGCCTTCTTAGCTCAGATCATCTTGTCAGGTGCAGTATATCAATCATTCACCGTCATGACAATAATTGTTAGTGAAACAATATAAATATATTTTGGATCAGATGATGCACTGGTGCATCAAAATATGAAGCTAAACGTAGCAATTGATGCACAGTTGCATCATCAGAAACCAAAAGTTTTAAAGATGTTACAACCCGCCAAACACACACCGAAACAACGTTCGAACAAGTTTTAACACCTAACCAGTTATAACAACCAATATAGCAAGTTGTAACAACGTTTAGTACGTTATAAACACGTTAAGCCAAGATGTAACAACTTTATTACAAGTTGTAACAAGCTGAAAATAAAGACAGTTACGGTTTGTGTTTCCAGGGAATAACATCCCAAAAAGATGATACAACACATTACATGATAGTGTAAACAGATAAAGAAAAACCACAACATAAATGAGGCAAAGTTAAATTAAGATATTCTATACTATGCGAGAAAACCTTTCGAGCAGGATGATGGAATTGAATCGGTCAACCCGTTCTCGCAAATTTAATAAGTCAATATTGACTTATTAAATATGTGCATAGGTGACATACTTAACATAATAGATACCCTTAAAAAGATTCATAGAAAACACCGACCTTACCTAACCTTGTTAGTATCTTAAGATAAGCATCTTATTGCTTCGTAATTACAAGTATTACCTAACCTATAATAGGTATAGGTTAAGTAATAATTGTAATTACGAAGCAATAAGATGCTTATCTTAAGATACTAACAAGGTTAGGTAAGGTCGGTGTTTTCTATGAATCTTTTCAAGGTTATCTATTATGTTTAGTATATCACCTATGCACGTAGTTAATAAGTCATTATTGACTTTACGAATTTGCGAGAACGGGTTGGAATCGGTGTACTAGGCCATCCTAGATACACATTATCCATTCGAGTATGGTGTTTAGAAGTAATACAACCCGAGGTCTGCCCAAATTTACAAGGAGTTTGGAAGCACTGAGATGATACCCAATCCAATTTTTAGGCACAATTTGAAGTCCAATGAGCAATGTGTGTCTGTGTTAACCTAAGACACGGGTTAGATTTCACTGCCATGCTAGATTTTCACTGCCATACAAAGATTTTATCAAGAGAAGCAACACACTTGTGATTTATTAGTTTCTGTGCCATATAGTCAGCTCTAACCATATGGGCATACATTTTGGGAGCGATCATGTTCTAGCAAGTCAGGAAGTCTTATGCCAAAAGCATTATTGAGAAAATAGCGTATGTTCAAAGTTAATTCAGTTTTATTAACAGTACATGAAATATTAAAAATACTGAACCTATGTTACAGTACATGTTTTACTGTCAATAAAATGCATAATATATCACTAATTCTACACTGTGCTTAATATGACAGACACTGACTTGATGGAACAGTACACATTATGGAATGCACTTTTTTGCCTTAATCCTAAGTTGAATACTGAATGCCCTTCAACTACAAAATATACATTGTATGAGGCTTGCACCTTTATAAATGTTAATTTAATACGAAGAATTTTTCAAATAAAGAAATTATGACATGGTGAAACCCAGTCAAAACCAGACCACCACCAGTGGTTTCGTGACTCTTGCCTTAAGTCCATGCATGATAGAGCTACTTCTATCATAGCTGTGTATAGTCCACAAACAAACAAGCCATGATTTCAAGGAACTGAAAGAACAGTTATATACCTTGTACTGAAAAGAGTTTTTAAAAGGAATTAACCTTGCAACTTCCACAGCTCAAATGTGATCCAAAACTAAAACAATCTCACCTTAACAACCTTAAACTTGATCAACATTCCCTATCAGCTCATGTTATGCTATAAGAGCAGCATGCAAGCACTTCTAGAATGCCAAACCTACCTTATAATATACATCATCCTAGCATGTATATTATAAGGTATATTATTTTGGGGAATGTACATACATCCCCTAAAATTTAAAACTGCACTTAACAATGGGTAGAGTAACTTCTCTTGACGAAGATGGCATAACAGTTTTCCGGGGCTACTTGCCCCTTCCCTCTCAACTCATGGCTAGAAGTGAACGAAAGTCTATGGTGAGGTGTCTAACCAAGCCACTGGAGGCAGAGCTCTATTATCCCTATACTTAAACTAAAACATCAGGCCAATATCTTTAAGGCCTTTGAGAGGATTGCTCTCAGCAGGTTGATGCCAAAAAATCCATATCAACTTGCTTATAACTTCTACAACTTTCTTCTAGGGAGATAAAATATCTAAACCTGCTTTGTTGAATACTGTATCAAAGTGATAAAGTCAGGAACTTTCACCGACTTCTTAACACTTTGGTGCACCCCGCTCGCCACCCCTCAACTGTGCGATATGGGACCCAGGGTGTCACGGGAGTGCGCGTAAAATCTGAAAAGTGTATACTCTCTTCAACTTTGTCACCTTAATTCTCGTCCTACGAGATTAAGTTTGGTATCATTGTGTTCGCAATAGAATTCTCTACAGCACTAAATGCATATAAACTCCAAAAGCCCGGCTAATTACCCGCAGCAAACAGAGAAAGTGCGAACGAGTTACCCAGGAGCGCGCAAACGCGATAAAATGTTTTCACTATTTTCACTCTGGTCACCTCAATTTTTATCCTAGGTCTTTAATTTTGGTCTCAATGGGTTCGCAATAGAATTCTCTAGAGGAACATTAGCATATCAAATAAAAAACCTGGTCACGCTCCAACCGCCGACGAGTTGAAGACGGGCCACGCGTTAGCCGCGAGTGAGTGCTCAGCCGCCTTCCACCTACACTCCCAATTCCCGCCCTTTTCAAGCCTTTCTTTCGCAATTTTCTTCCTGGAAGGGCCTTGTTCATGATCACTATCCATCGTGGAGTAAGCGTAGATAGTTTCTTAGTTTCTAAAGCCGCAGTAAGAAATATAGCCACGGAAAATAGGCGAAATGTTCACACGTTTGAGATGCGAGGGGAGGCGACATTGGTCACAACAGTGGAGCGAAAGCAATGGGCCCACAGCATGTGCCAAGCCGCCTGAGGGCCACGAGGCTCAACAAGGGAAATGGGAAGACATCGGCGCGCATTTTAAAACCAGTCCCCAAAAAATTGGATAATAACCTGATTTTTGGCGATTATTTAAAGTGGATGACGCAATGCTGCGTCATCCCCGGAATTACCGCCAGTAAACGGATGACGCAATGCTGCCTCATGCCCGGGTGAAAGTGTTAAACTGCTTTTGACAACTAATAGGAACTCACCTTATCTTGAGGTTATCTTGAGATGATTTCGGGGCTTAGTGTCCCCGTGGCCCGGTCCTCGACCAGGCCTCAACCCCCAGGAAGCAGCCCGTGACAGCTGACTAACTCCCAGGTACCTATTTACTGCTAGGTAACAGGGGCATCAGGGTGAAAGAAACTCTGCCCATTGTTTCTCGCCGGCGCCCAGGATCGAACCCAGGACCACAGGATCATGCGTCCAGTGTTCTGTCCACTCAGCTACAGCTCCGTAATTGACAGAAGCCACCGGCTTCCTGTGACACCTTGGTGTCACAGGAAATGAACCAACATGGATCAAGGAATACTTGTATGTAAAATAATCAATCCTTCACAAGGAAGTAAATATCAGCATTAATGTATCCTTTGAAGGGGGGGGACAATTTAGGGTAGGGTGTGCAATCCTATACTTATCAAAGTCATTTTTGGTGACTAATAGCCAACAAGTCTGAACAAGTCGAGCCATTTACTATACAGATTATATTTGTATTTAAATATTGTAAACAGCAGTAACTGGCTACATGCTTTCTTGGCACGCTTGCCAATAGATAGAACAAAGTTATTGTTCCCACAGGAAAACTATAACCCTATGACCAAAAATATGCTTGAAATCAATGAAGAGCAAACATGCTTTCAATTAAATTAATAAAATAAATCCAATGTGATTACAGACAAAATAACCCTAAGCACCATGCCTTCCATTCCATTCCTCAGTGTTGCAAGAAAACTTTGAATGTCAAACAGGAATCAATTACCATATACAGTAGTTTTAAGTTTTTGATCTCTCTCATTAACATATAAAATAAAACTGTTATTAATACCTTATAACCTCAGGCAGCAATTTGAAATGATGTAATATTACAGTTATAAAACATATGGTCCATATATATAAACCAGTTACTAATAGTTCTTAAATCTATACACTAAATGAGAATATCAGCAGTTCAGTAGAACTGGCCTTGAACTCTCAAGTTTGTATAAACAGTGTAACCACACCATGACTTGCTATGGTGGTCAAGTTTATTAGTATTTATAATTATTATTATTATTATTGTTGTTACTGTATTATTATTGTTTTTAAGAAGAATAATAGACAGGCTTCTACAACTGTGTAGCTGCCTGTTCATATTTTGTACAGTAGGCTCTCGCATAGCCTTGTGCTACACAAACACGTGCACACTGATCATGTTACATGCCAAAAACAGGAATGCTTTTCAAAGACCAGCCAAAATCACCTTATTTCAATCATATCAATAAAGCACCCGCCTGAACATTATTACTAAGTACTGGTACCACTTCTTACCCATGAAATGCAAATCATACCATGCTCTTTTATATTTTAACTTGAAAAACATGCTCTAGCAGAGAAAATTATGCTCTATGTACTCTCACTATGCGAGGGTCAACTGTATATTAAATTTCAGTTTGTTATTGGATTAACTAAACAACATTGGAAATAACTATAATATCAGTTAAAATTTCAGGCATTTACCAAAGAAAAAAAGAAGTGCAATAGATCTTAGACAAGAACACAGTGGGTGTAAAACGATAATACCAATTAACGTTTAGTCTAAATATAGTGGTGTAACCACTTTAAGCAGCATGAAATAGAAAACATCACAAAAAGTTGCATTCAAGAATATATTAATTAAACATAGCTAATGAGAATACAAAAGGTAAGCATGCTAAAGCAAGCATATAATTATTTATGATGTGCAAGCTGAATATAGCTAATTTATCTTGTTGATGCATTTACATCAGTGCATGCAATGCAAGTGATATAAATTGCTCACCAGAATATGTGACTACACTCTCTTTTTTCACAGGTGGCTGGCCCTGTAAAGGTTCAGGGGGGGTCGGGGTAGGGGTCCGAACAATTACAGTAGCATCACTTCCTATAGATGCAATTACTGCCTCCGGTGAAGTGGGGGATAGAGCTGCAGAAGCTGGTCTCGCTGGCATTGATGACGTTTTTGACTCATTCGCAGCTTGGTCAGAAAGAGGAGTGAATTGTGGCTCGGAAGAAACTACTGCTGATGAATCTGGCACAGAAAATGCTAAGGCTGGGACTGGGGACAAAGCAGGAGATGGTGAAACAACTGTTTTGAGTTCTATATTACCAACTACTGAAGATATTGCATTTTCGGTTTGCTCTTCTTTGATTGGATCTACAACTACTGTGAGACCAATTTTTGTCTCTACTGTCTGGGGTTTAATTTCATTTGAATGGACTGATTTAACATCTGGAATATTTTGTGCACTTGAGGATATTTGGTCTTTTCCCTCTTCTGACACCCTATTATTTACTTGGTTTGCATTATCAACAACATCTGCTCTTGATATATTCTTTGGCTCTTGGGTGTCAGATTCTCTCAAGGATTTCTCACCACTTTCCATTTTTTCCTCTAACACAGTCTTTTTAGCTGGCTCATGAACAGAAGTTACACTTAACTGTTTGTCATTCTCCTTTTCATTTGGGACGGAAGGAAGATTTTCTACGCATGGAATGTCTGCTTTTGGCATTGTCGGTGAATGTTTCTCCTTGGGTACCGGACTTTCACCAATGGGTAAAGGTTTGGGTGCCGGGCCCTTCCCTGAGGGTGTGCTGGTAACTTGTTCACTTGCAGTACTGCTGGGAGAGAGGCCAACACCTGACTCACCTACTAGGTCATCAGACGTTATGTCCACAGGTGATGGGGCTCTAGGTTTAGAGGAGGTGGTGCTAGCCGGGACTGCGGGTGCAGGGCCCTTCTTAGAGGGTGTGGAAGAACTAGAAGTGGGAGTACTAGCTGGACTACCACTAACAGGGGGAGGAGGAGCAGGTCCCTTTCTCCGCTCACCTGAGACTGGCGCCACCACCTGAAAATTGTGGGCAATGTTATTTAAATTCATTGCAAATATTCAACAAGTCAGCAGCAGCAAAACTGAAAAAGTACCATTATAAAAATCATAATCTCTACATGGTAATTAACAAGATTTTCCTAGACTATATAAAACACACCCAGGGCCCTTGAACTGTACATGGCTTGTGTGTGTGTGTGTGTGTGTGAGAGACTGCTAGGTTCAGTGTAAGCCCCAGGTATAGTCCTTGTCTTGTTTTCCCCACTAATATCAAGTCAAGCCTTCACACTTTCAAGACACAAGTGTAGATCTCATACACATCAACCAAGTCAACACCAGACCCCTTTCTCACACTTTCTAATACAACATATATGAGAGATCATGGCTTAACCCTTTTAACCCTTAACCCTTAATTTTTTCTCGACTTCATTTCAACACATATTGACCTACAACTTTCACATATTCAAGTATGAATGCCAAACAATGCTGATTAAAACATACAATTAAATTAACGAATTAAAACTAACTTTATTCATTGTTGATAACTTCAATCTCTGAAACTAGAGTTTCAACTTTGAGTGGCTTCTAAAATTCCAGTTTTTGACACTAAGTGCTCAGCTGCCTGTTTTACAATCTCTTCAGAATAAGATTTTTCATAAACTTTATACATTTGGAATTATATATATATTTTTTTTTTGGGGGGGGGGTCTAAATTTGCTGCATATTTCAAATGTCCTATGATTTTTTTTACAGTAAACTATACTGAAAACCTATATTCTAATTTGATGAAAATGAAGATCATATGCTATTCTCGGAGAATAACAACATTAAATGAACAATTGATGATAGTTCATATTTTTTATTCTGAATTGAAAATCTGAAGTTTTCAATATTCAATTTTAAAATTAATTTTGATTCTCTTGTTTTTCAAGTTACGCTGTGATCATTTAGACAAAGTTGGAGCACTTGCCTAGTTGATTATGCAAAAAAAATTGGAAAGTGTTAGTGCAAGTTTTAAAAACTTATGTTAAATTATTTTATGTCAAATCATATATGTAAGTATTGCGCAGTTTAAGGGTTAAAGCTGGTCAAGCCACACCCAAAATACACAATAAATAATTAAATTTAAATATATGCAATAGAGCTATCAAAGCACTTCAAATGCACTTAAAAATAGGGAGACCCATCTTACTTGCTTCAACACTGCCACCGAGACAGTGGCCATTACATAAAGTGCAAGGTGAAACCAACATATATTAAAAATATATACACACATGTAATAGAACTCACCTCGTTCTCATCTTTTGCAGGGCTGGGGGATTTTTCTTCAACTATTGTGGTAGTGGAATCCTGAAGCTTACCTAGATAAGAAATAATGAGCTATATTATATGCATACACTATACACTTTCTCCTTCATAAAACTCCAACTGTGGGAAAAGTTAAAAGAAATTTGTGTAACTATTTTCTACTATCTTTAACTTCCCTTGCCTATGCTTCCCAATTTGATCTTGGGCTTCTATTTCCAATTTAATTACTATATTTGCTAGTATATAAGATGCTTTATTATTTTACAAAGAAATATTTAGAGAAAACATTTTCATGTATATTTACACTTTATAATAATGAAAACTAACATTAACAGAGCAAAAAAATTAACAATACTTATGAAGTCCTTTGAGTGGGCTGCTGGCTTCAAATATACTATACACATGCAGGCGATGAGTCACACTAACGTGGCTGAAGAATGTTGACCAGACCACACACTAGAAGGTGAAGGGACGACGACGTTTCGGTCCATCCTGGACCATTCTCACAATCGACTTGAGAATGGTCCAGAATGGACCGAAACGTCTCGTCCCTTCACCTTCTAGTGTGTGGTCTGGTCAACATACTGTACACATTTAAAGCCATATTGCACAGCTTCAGAGGCAATACATTACATTAAACTTTTGACAGTTTAACGTTGATTGACTTGCCAAGTTAACTAGACTATATCTGGCAATGGCTGGATAGCTGACTATGACTGACTGGCTGACTCTGGCTGGCTGATTGATATTAGCTAAAAGACTTGACACACTGGCTGGCAATGGCTGGTTCATTAAGGCTCAATCTAGCCGACTTTCTGGCCCACTATGGCTGCCTGCCTGTCTGCTTTTTATGCCCTGACCACCAACCTCTGTCTCAGTTCAAATGGCTAAGGCACCATCCCTCCTACTACCACCATAAAGGGGAGGCAGCATACTATGTCTAATGATATTATTTGTATTTATTTACAATGTCTTGTAATTATTCTTGTATATATATAATAATGTTCACCATTCGTACAATTTTTAGCATTAGGGTATACAAATGAATGAAAGTTGTTTGGACTCGAGGTCAAGAGAACATTTTGGAATCAAAGGGGGGTATATGATAAACTCTTATATAATTACATGGGTTTTTAAGACCCCAATTTATCATACAAGTTATCCCAAAACTTTAAAATATGTAAATAGATATGAATCTTAAAATCTACTTTCCAAAGCAAATTAAATTGTATATTGCATGCAGAAGTATTAGGTACTAAGTCTACAGCAATAATTAAAAATTCTACTCCACAGGTTTGCCTTCAAAATACATGGCAATATTGTACTTCAGTAAACATATCAAAGGTGCAGGGGCAAAAACTGAACCCAATTTTCTGTTAATGTATAAGAAGATAATCCAACAACTACAGTAACTAAAGTTACTCGAGCCAAAATTAAACTGTAGAGTATGAACTTACTGGTGGTGGTAGGGGTTACAGAGAAGGATTCTTCTTGACTAGGATCATCTTCACTAATCCGGGAAATACGCTGATGATCCTGGAACACCCAGGAAACATGAGAAACCAACATTTCTCTACATATTTCAAGGCTAATATCCCTGCCATCTACCTGACAGCATGAAAACATTTTTTATCATAGTCTTCAAGATGACAATGTTCAAATCAAAGACAAATTACTGGATACACTTTACAGAAATTAAACCCAAGTATGTTAATTTCTAACTATTTTGCTTAAATACATATCTATACATTAAAAAAAAAGTTACATTAGAAACAATTCTTTCAAAATTTTAATTTATACAATATTTAGAAAGCCATTACAAATTTGTTGGTAGTTATTAAAATATAAATATAGAACATGAACAAATAATGAATATCAAAGATTCTACCATGATCAAAACCATTACCAGCCTCTGAGCTGACCATCCTTATACTAAAACGTAAAAGAACTTATGACAATTACAGCAGTATGGAAATTCCAGTAATAATACAAATGCAGTACCCTAGCTTTACTAAAAATTGCCAGATCAATTTCTAAGACAAGGAATGTTTGTGACTGTAAAGTTGTATGCTATCTTTGCATGCTGAGATGTCACTGCCTTACACAGGAGTTGGATGTAATTAAATCTTCATAAAAGCCCTTCGAGCAGCCTCATCTGAAATACTTGTTTAAAAGTGTAGAACAGAAACACAAGACAAAATGCAATTCAAAGTAATTATTTCATGCAAAATCTCCACTAAATATTAATTACATGCACAAGCCCAAAATACTCATCTCCTCAGACTCCATTTAAACATCTTATTCTGAAAAATCATCTTCATGATTTTTTTTCATTTTAATCATGTTAAGCATGATATTTTAAATTAACCAAAGGAATTCGTCTTTGTATAGCTTTATAAATCAAACATTCAGACGAAGTGAGTATTCACGTAACATAGCATCATCAACCTGGTATACAGAGGAATGCATGCCAATAGCTTATAGAAGACAAGTAAATAAAAGTACCAGCACACTAACAGCCAAGAGGATAAGGAGGTTTTACTAATCTGAGGAGTGAAGGTGTACAATACATCAATGCTTAATAACTAAATTATATTTATGTGACCTGACTAAGCTGAACTTCCAATGCACAAGTTGGAGAAGTACACCAGGAAAATGATTTAAAATACAATTTCAATCAGGAGTAGCGTTAAGTAAATTTGCCAATCATAACGAAACATTAGCAGATATGTGAAAGCAAAGAGCAGCTTTGAAATACTTCTCAAAGAGTAGATCTGATCTCTCTCTCGAACAATTGTGTCTAGGTGTCCAACTGTGCAGGGAAGCTCCCAGCTAAGACTGTACTAATTATGACATACCTCTGGCAGCAATGCCAGGTCCATGGGGGGGCAATCAGTGGGGTCAAGAAAGGGGCAATGTAAATAGAACCAGCCACCAGACTCAAATTACAGCAGAAACTACAGTATGATCAGCTATGGACAACACAAGGTCTTTCAAGAGGTTACATATTATTATGTGAAGCCCCTTGAGTGATTAGTGATGAAGAAGCTGCCTCCAACTGACCTTTGAAAAGATTAATCAGATAGTATAAGCTCTAAGAAAGCTGATTTCATAAACAATTATTGTGAAGACAATAACAGTACATACTTTTAATAAATCCTTAACAAATTTTGTAAATTAGAAATTCTCTTAGTTGATTTTAATGAGTATAGTAATTTTCTTTCACCAAAATGGCAACAAAAATCTACAAAGTTAATAAAAAAAGAAATTCATCTTTTGAAGATCTTTACGAATTCAATATTTACCAGCTTCTTTATAGTAGTTAAATTCACATAAGTTTCGAAGAAAATATCATAAATAAAGAAAAAATCACATGTATCAGGGATGAAAAGTTAATGGATGTGTCCATGTAATGTAATAAAAATGATGATTTGAGAAATCCCGACACAACACTCACACTGGAATGTGTTCATATCCTACAATAAAATGTTATGCTCTCATTTTCAGGAAAATTATTTATATATACTGTTCTGTACTTTTTTTAAATTGTGTACTTTATTGCACTCTTATTTTCCAAGTTCTCCAGTAAAATAAAAATTATTTAATTTTATAATAATAATTCCAAAACATGGAACCGAATAGAAGTGAGGCACAAATTCATCTATCACCCATTATTTATGTTTGGAAGGCAGTTACATACAAACCTAAAGGTATGCAGGCATAATTAATCTACATACTGTACATGATATGGTATGGTGTAAAGGCTATGCTAATTAGAATTCCTATACATGGTGTTCTCTATTTGAATAAATCAAAATCATAAAAGGACATTCAGTGTACTGTAGTTTCTCTAAGGCCAACAGAAATTTTATAATACACTTGCCATAGTATTTAGTATTTTCATGGACATTATCAACATTACCCAATTTCCCAATTTTATGGGGTATGGGATAAAGAATGGCACCTATCTTCTGGTGGGACAAAAAATGGCTACCCCAGCCCAAATTTCTCCCATACTGTGGCAGACTTTGTATACTATTTATATAGTATTTTGAAACAAGTTTCCTGTTAGTCAGCTTCAAACAATTCTAGCAATTATGTTGCAGTAAAATAAGCATTATTGAATTTGATTAGGGTAGTTATATATAAAATGTATAATAATTATTATTAAAATTAAGATGTCAATACATCTATTCAAGCATACAAATAATTTCAAGCTCAAAACTTTTGTCGAGCACATTCACAGAAATCTAAAGGCTTTTCCCCCCTTCACTTTTAACAAATTTGTATTCTGAAATAAAATTAAGGGTTTCTATAATCCACCTACATCCTTGACACCTAAAAATAAGTGTACAGTGTAAATGAAGCAACTATCACTTCCTTGCACTGAGAAATAACAACACTGTATAAGGTTTAATTTAAGGTGGCCTCTAAAGTATAAATAAATAGGGATGTGTTAGGGCTAGCAAAATCAATAAAAAACAATTTTTAATACCTGGTTTTAATAAACCAGGTATTAAAAATCCACAAAAGATAGGGGATGACGAACATTTAATATCAGGAATATGTTACAAAATTATGGGAGACCAACATTAATGTAAGAAGGCAACTTCTTTGCTTCTCCCACAGCAGTGTGTCCGTGGGGAACTGATGGAAACTGGTTTCTACAAGTGAGTGTGTGTGTGCACCTCAAAGATTTTGCTCTTAATGCCTACAGGGAACAAATTCCTAACATGGCTCTCTAACACCTACACATAACAGGGACATGCCTAGAAACTTCTCTAAAACACCTAAAGAAAACAAGCATGTGTCCTAAACTTTTCAACTAAATATGGATTTTACCCATGTAAAAACAAAAATTAACACCTATAAAAGCTTGGAATGTCTTGAGAAAATGCATGTTCATTTGCACGCAACATTTATCCCTGGGAAAATTCCTTGCCATGCATCACCAAAAGCACCAATTCAATCAATGAACACTAGCTACTGCCGACACTCCTGTAGTCATTCTTTTTCTCTGTTCGTGTTAATATAATTTGTATAAAATTCACATATTTACCCATTAATTTGTCAAATCTCATTTCGGCCAAAACAAATCCCTTTTGCACTACATCATCTGCCTCAAAAATCCTACAGCATAATCCAGTATGTATTTAAATGCCTTTATTCACATTGGCATATACTATATCTGACTATGCGAGGTTAGTTTCAATGTCAATCACCAGTGTGTTATTCCTACCATTTGTCAACAAAGGCTATTACTGTAATTACTGTACTCATTACAAATGTCTGCCAATAGATTACTAAGTATCTCTTCATCTATAGCAAAATATGTAATATACATTAATTTGAAAGAAACTGACAATACAATAAACTTATAATTAATTTATCAAGACAAGTGAACCAAGAGCGCTTTAACCTAACAGCTTATGAGGATGTGTTAATGTTTAGGTTGAAATGTGTGTAAATGTTACCATCACACGAATATGAACATGACACGAAAAAGGGAGGGACGACACAACATTAAAGACTAGCACTTGCTAAACACTTCATACAAGTGTAAACAGAACAGCTTTCCTTACCAACTCTCTTATACTGTTCCCTTTTTTTTCTTTTTCCCTTCTGAAGGCATGGAAATAAGCAAAGAGAGGGTGTGCTAGGGGCCAAAGGGGTGTTCAGTGCAAAAGCTGCTGCATATACCAAGCCAAAGAATTAGTAATTACAAAATATGTACTTACAAATATGACAAGAAGATTAAAACATGTCTATGTGATACAAATTCCACAAAGAGCTTTAAAACTAATACAAAAAATGAAATGTGTTTTGTACAAATCACCAAAGTCAGCATGCAGTACCTCCTAAAAAAAAAAATTATGTGGCAGTCGTTGTCATAACGTATCACTACAAAAACAAGTTGTGGAATTTGCAACACGTTTCACCGGCTAGTAAAAGTAGTCTAGAAATTACTTTTTTAGAACTTTTCATTTGCAGCATCATTAACAGGAAATGCCCTTTATAAGGAAAGATTTTAAATATGCTAAGTTATTAAAAAACTTGCAATATCCCTTACTTCTTTACCAGAGTTTAAAAAAGATCTTGAATGAAATTACAGTAAGTAATTCATTAATAGCAAGCTATAATATACTCCTCAATTCTAAAGCAGTACTGAAATAGCTTAAAATTTATGACAGTTTGACCTACAAACTTAGTACAGTATTAACTTAGTTTGACCCGTTTGCTCCAAAATTTGCCCTACATCTTTTCGAAGGGGGTAGGGAAGGGGGGGGGGGGTAAAATTTTACTTTCAATGATTTCAGATGGAACTGCAATTTTGTTTAAACATAATTGCCACTGTATTCATAGCTAATTACAGACTTTGGCATTAATATAGAATTATCTATATTGAAAACACAAACACACACTGTCCAACAGTATAACTCAAGAATGCATAATTTCCAGCCAGTTGCAACTTTATGGGAATGACTGCCTCGCCTCTACTGCTAACACAATGTCTGGCATACATTATCTCCACCACA